AAAATCTGTGAAATCTTGTATAAATGATTTATTTTCTCCCGAAAATTCGCGTGTGCGGTGTTTATTAATTGAATACACAATGACTGTAAAATACACGAGTATACGTCGCATAATATTAATTCACTCGAGGAAACGACTCGGTGGAAACAAAATCGGTGTAGCGATTTCTGTTTTACATACAAAACTAATTTTAATCGTTTTCAGAGGCGGAGGTGGGAGACTTTGAGAGTAGAGGATTTGGCATATTTGCCTTGCTTTTATGTGTATGGGGCGAAGTTTGGGCAGAAACTTTTTGTTCCCATTTTGTTCGCTGGAAATATTATATTATTATTATTAAAGTTTCGCCTTCCCTTTACGTCTCCGTTTCTGCGTTTCATTCTTCGTTTGGTGGTGCCGAGGAGTTAAAAAGTTAGACGTTGCCACGGAGAAGATCTGGCGGGGCTCCTCTCCGGTGTAGATCGGCGCTGGTCGTTCTGGCAAACCCGCAACGTTTGTATCCCGGCGACGATTATGAATATATTGTTACGGTAACCGTCATAAATCAATCTTAATTGCATATTATTATTTCATTCGCGCCCCCTCGCCGGTATTTTTACTTGGCGTGCTTGTGTATGTTTGAAGCACGTGTATTCTAATTAACCGCAGCTCTTCGAAACCCGTGTAATTGGTTAATGTGTTTTAGGCGTCGTCGTCGTCGGCAGGTCGTCGTTTGTTATGTGTCATAGCCGCTTATTGCTCAGTGTGGCGTGAAGCCCACAAGACAAAGGCTCCAACACTTATATCATACTATTAATAACTCCTAGTATGTAAAGGTCTTTTGATTGTTATTTTATGTGTAACGGAAGAACCACGAGAATATGAAAATGTGCTGTATAGACTATAGCCTGGTCTCATCTTGTTTCATCTGAACGAGATTATTTAAACTGAATCCTATTATATTCCTAAATAATTCTCTTATTTCATTTACGAAGGAAAGTTGCCGTTCTCCTTACAAGGAATTCTAAATTAAAAAAAACCAGTACAGTGGGGTCGGTGCATAGTGGGGACGGAGCATAGTTGGGTCGGGGCATATTGGGGACGGGGAGGTCACAGGTTTACAGGAATTTTTAAATCTGAAAGTGATAAAATCACTTTCGAAAAAACGCTTCGATGCAAATCGGTAGTTAGTATTTTCAAGCCAGTACAGTCCAAACCAAGCGCAGTATAAACCAGCAAAGTTAGAAAGTTTTAAATGAAGGTTCTGTATTTACAAATGAGTATCAAAGCGTTTATTTGAAAGCGATTTTATTCAATTTTATCACTTTTATTTATAATAATTCTTGTAGACCTGTGACCTCTCCGTTTCCTCATTGCTTTGATTACATTATACCAACACTCTACTGTACTAGTCCTCTCGGATAAAATCACTTTCAAATTAACGCTTTGATGCTCATTTGTAAATACAGAACCTTCATTTAAAACTTTCTAACTTTGCTGGTTTATACTGCGCTTGGTTTGGACTGTACTGGCTTGAAAATACTAACTACCGATTTGCATCGAAGCGTTTTTTCGAAAGTGATTTTATCACTTTCAGATTTAAAAATTCCTGTAAACCTGTGACCTCCCCGTCCCCAATATGCCCCGACCCAACTATGCTCCGTCCCCACTATGCACCGACCCCACTGTACTGGTTTTTTTTTTTTTGCAAAAACTTAATGGACCAAATAACACATATACAATGTCTTGTTATATTTTGTTGGAATGGTCGACGATTCATGTTTCAATCGTTTGTACTCCATAGTTTAAATTATAATCGCTTATTCTCAATAAAATTAATATTTATGTATTATATACTTCCATTAAAGCAATCTCACACAAACTATTTATACTTCACAGATTATATTATTTCAAAGCTATTTTATACTTCTATTTTACTAGATTGACAATGTACAAAATAAAATGCAACTAAAATAACCTTTTCATAGATTTTTAAAATGTAAAGGGTGGGATAGTGAAACGGGTTTTACCATTTAAATACATTAGAAAATCGCCGTTTTACTGCCTCATCCTGTATATTAATTTCTTGTTATTTTCTAAAGAAAAATCGATTTTCTTACATTTAAATTAAAATAAATCGTATACTGGTACTGTGATGGAGAAAACAATAAATTTTACCTACATATATTAGATATTAGTTAAATATTACTAACGTGTATAGCAACTAGCGGTCGGCTGTTGCCTGTTATTTAACAATAACCTTTTATGGAGATTTTAAAAATTGTGTTTTTTTAATAATATCATAGGAACAGTATCATGATGTTAAATGTTCACGAGATTTGATCTAGTCATAAAATAAAATATTATCATTTATGACTTAATTATTATTAAAATTTATCTTAATCTGTACATAGTAATAAAATAATGAAATATTTTATACAAAATTAGAGCTACAAGTTGATAAACTAAAAAATTAAAATTAGCACGAATCAGATTATCTAATATTAGACAATTTAAACAATCAAGCGTGAATCTCTTTAAATTAATAACAGTATAACAATATGCAAAACATTACTTTTCCTTTAAAAAAATTGTGTAAAAAAAATACATTTTGAGGCGGTATACTGCATAAAAACCAACACTTAATCTGAATCCAAAAAACAACAGTCCTCTTCATAATTTGCAGGTAGTTGGACCTTCGGTAAGGTTATATAACGCAGGCTATAAAATAACGAGATAACGACAGTGGTTTTGTCGTATCGTTTTTTTCCCAATAAATCGAGTGTCTACTATAATCAGTTACACGATTTAGTCGCCTGTGATATCATGTAATAAACACAATGTTATGATACCGATCATTGGGCCCTAACCTAATCTAAAACGGATAGACGTTACCAACTGATAGTTTTTAGTGTCTGTTCGTTTCTCACATCTGGTACACTGGGTTTTTAGTTAAAAAAAAAAAAAAAAAAAAATTGAACTTTGTGTAAACTTTAAGTCAAAAGTGGTACTTGAGCACAAAACCTAATAGTATCATTCTGCATAGATATACATAAAATTGTTTTAATGATTTGATCAATTTTTTTTAAAGATTTTAGGTGTTTTTGTTAAAATATACGCAATCTGCGAAAACACAGTTTTCCGGCTATTAAAAAAAAACTGTAGTGCCGAATTTTTTTTCCGTTTAATATGTTATGGATACATATGAGTTCCAACTACTGGCAAATTTTCAACCCAAAGGTCTTAAAATTACGGCCAAAAACCCCGAAAAACAAAAAAACTTGTACCCCCCCTAGGGGGGTGAGCATTGGGTTGAATTTAAATTTGATACTACTGACGTGCGCGGGCATACTAAATAAATATTTCTTATAAATTTCAACTCGATCCGACTCTTTTTCTCGAAGCTATAGCCAGTAAAAGTTCTAACTTAAAAACTTGTACGGTTTTTTTTTTGTTTTTTCAACTTTCGTCTGTGAAGAGTTAAACTTTTTCAACTTTTACCCCCCCAAAGTACCAACTAGATAAAATTGCGATTTATAGAGTTGCTGTTCGAAAGAATTGGTCCAGTATTAAAGAAGTTACAGTGTATACAGATAAAAAAAAAACACACATCAGAGTAAAACCATCGTTTGCAACCCGAGTTTGCATCGAAGCTAAAAACTCGAAAGATTTTAAAATACTAGCCAGAAAAAACAAACTAAATAATAATAAATCTGATTAAAAAACCTACAGCTATCATAATATTACAACGATGATTATAATTTATAATAAATCTTCGAAGATTATAATATTAATACTCGTAACCAAGAGATTCGTATTAGTTTCTTTAAAGACATTAATGTATATTTGTTAATTTCAAGTTTCATTAAAGACTTGATTAAGTTTTATAATTAAACGAGGATATCTCATCTGTATTTATCAAGAGGCCGTCGCAGACGAAGTAAAATTTTAAGAAAACAACTCTAAGGATTTTTAATGGTTTAGTGCATAATATTTAATTTTAAAACGAAATATTAAGACAACACAAGATAGGTAAATATATTTACTGAAATAATATGTCTTTGCATTGAACTCCCAAACAAAGCGAATTGATAATTCGACATCCACTGGGGCTCTTTCTCTAAACTTACTATCAAACTTAATAGTGTAAAATTAATTAGACTCTGAGCTATGCTATTCTCACATTTTCACAAATGGAGTAACATTCCAAAATAGATGGACGTAGCCCATTCGGCTCCCGTTTTTCCCAAACGGCTCCGGTATTTTACAACACAAATTCCTTCTCTTTCTTTTTTACGGAAAGAAAACGAAAAATTTTCTATCATTTTTTCAAAAATTTGAACAGATTTTATAGGGGTTGCTACCACTTTTACCAAATTCGGAATTCGTATTGATAACTGATAAGGACGGCAAGTCTCCGAGTGTTTTGGCACTCGCTCGCTCGGCGCCGTCGCTTCGCTCCGCTAACTAAAAATATCCTAGGTTTGTAGGCTACAGTCTAGGAGGAGGTTACAGGTATAAATTTAAGTTTAAGTTTTTTTGAAAAGTTAAAGAGACTTGATAATATACGCGTAGTACCGAATACCGGAGCCGTTTGGGAATTTACCTACTTGTGAAACCTTTTTCGACGGGAGCCGTTTTGGAAAAAACAAACAATGGATGGGAGCCGTTTAGGTTGCACCGAAATAGATATGCAAACGTAAATTTGAAATTTTACTTGTATGACAAAATACCAGAATTGAAAAATAGTCGTTTTGAGACATTAGTTTCTCATTTCGAACAACGTATTGTTTATATTAGGACACTGCCTGTAATGTGTGAACATGTAATGCGTTTCGTTTAATAATGGTTAAATCGAATGAGTACTCACCTTAAGGGTGACATTGTCATTATGACCTGATCTTGCAACAACAGCGTTACACCCCCTCCCCCTCCCGTGTTATATAATAATATTTTAACGGTACATACTAATAATGTATAAGGCATAATTAAAATACAATTTATAAATCATTTTGTTTTTTTAGTTATGCCTCACGTCCAATGTGAGCACAGCTGACTTTAACATGGGTTATAGTCTGACCGGGTCACTTGAATGTGGCTCCACGAAGAACAACAGCTTTCAGACCACGCATTTTGCAGTTATTCGAAGAAGGGATTTCGACATGAGTAGACCGTAATAATAAAATAACAATACGGATTCACCTGAGGCACACGAGTTGATGCTAATGTACATAATACATACAGTCATATTATTATTATTATATACATTAAACATGTATAAATGTTTGTGAAAATGTGATCGTTACGTTAGTCATACAAACCAGTCAAACGAATTCGCTGTGTCTGCATAAAAACAAACGATTATATTTTTGTAGTGAACCATGTCATTTTTATGTAAATTTAGATGCTATAACGTTTGTCCAACACAACGGGATTCACTGCCAATTTCTTTTGGATAAATTTAACTTATTTTGTGTAATGCATTACTGTAAATAGATAGTTGTATAATACGCGTTAGATAAATCGTATTATTTAGGTTGGTATAAGAAAACTGCCATGCATTCGAATGCGTTTACATGTTTACGTTTCCTTTTGTTTTACACAACATTATTATGTTTAGTATATTTTCATTCATTAACTTGTTGCACTTTTTAACATAATTTAATCAATCAAAATTATTATAATTGAGAAGTTCTATAATTTAAGTTTGCACGTAGTGGGTTTGGAGGCAAAAATATTGCTAACATATTACTTAGCTCCAATTAAACACATTTCTACAAGTTAAATATAATTTTTTTTTTTTTTGATGTGGACAATAAACGGTTTTAGAACATCATTAATAATAATAGATACACAAATTTAAGTTCAGTTATTAAAAACAAATTAGTGAAACTAATAAAAAGTAGAGTAGTGTAAAAATGTTGGAAGTAAAAATGACTAATGAGCATTAGTACCTAGTTGTCACGATGTGCTATGCTCTTTTAATAGGATTTGAACTTCTATCCTACTTACTGGATGTACAAGTAATGAAACTTAATTTAATTAATTCTTTTATTTTATTTTCATCATTACCTATATTTTTGTATAAAACTTCTTAAAAAATGAACTGAACTGTTATAATCTCATTAGTCATTATATATTATTTTGGGCCTGCTTCTTTTGTATTATTATCTGCATACAAAAAAAAAGACGTTCTTATATCCCTCTGGCAGAGTTTGACATATTACGGTAGTATTCAAATTCAGTATTCAATAAACTTCCGAGAAAACTAAAAAAAGTCTGTGACTGTCGCAAGTTTTGTTTCAGTTCTCAGGTTTGTATATTAAGTTTTTAGATTTCCAATGCATTATGGTGTAAATTTGTCTCGTTTTATGTACTTTTTTTTATGTTGTAAAACTAACGTACTAACATCGTACGTGAGATGGTTTCTATCACCGAAACGTGATTTTATATCATGTATTTATACTTCATATGACTTATTGACTTCGGGTTTATTCAAAATAACCATTTCCTCCTTTTTTTTAGTATTATATATTATAATTTTTTCATATAAATGGATATTATACCAACTTACATTTAGTTAAAACCCATTTAATTGTTAATATTATTATAAGTATTATAATTTTTTATAATTATAACACTAATGCCTAAATTTTCAAAACTTTTTTTTTGTTGCTTAAAATCTAGTTAAAAAAATGGATGACAAACCATGACATTATCAGACAACCCGTCCAACAATATTATTATTGATGTCATTATTGTTGAATTTCAGTTTTTCGACTGAAGTACACTCAATCATTAAATATAAGTGGTTTTATAACCGAAATCCCTATAATATAATATGTTCATTTGAATTGTTTTACTTATTAGTATATTAGTTTAAGGCATATTTGTTCATGAACAAAGTTATTTTACCTAATAAATGTAATGCTTGTAAACCTATAAAAAATGCAATGCAGTTTGTAAAAATTAAAATAATTACGATTGTCAATAGGCTTAATTGGGTTTTATAAAATTAATAAAATAATCATTGATTAAATAATAAAATGTGATGTATATATGCGCATTTTTTCTTTCGAGTTACCAACACAATTTTACTTATTCATAAATCTACATTTTATAATTATAAAAATATTGTTTCTTTTAAAGTTATTCAGACACTCGCTAGCCAACAACCGGGACCAAGAGCGTAGACCCGAGGAAGTAAAGCTGAAAAATGTAGGTTTCATTTCTTATGAGTTATTTAATCAGTAGCAGTTTGTGTGCAGTGTCTTATTAATAATTATTTGAATAAAAAAGATTCTCCTTAAAATTTCGAACAATATGATTCTAAAAAGTTATCTTATTATATGTGCATTGTACGTAGATGCTACAATTGAGGAGGAGGATAGCGATAGGTAAGCTTAATCTTAAACTACTAAAAATTAAATACCGTTTTATTATATGAATCATTTTAAAATATTTTAAAACCAAACTGATCCAAACTTAAAAAATTGATCCACTAAATGGCAAGTACCTAATTTATTTGGAGTTAAAATTTAAACAATAGTATTAACAAAGTTATAATTAGATTTTTCTTAAAATAATGGATTTTTGGGTTAATCTTTTCAGGCGCTATACGTCTCAATTAACAAACTATGTGTGGATTTAAATGAAACTGATTTAAATGTAAAGAAAATACAATAGTGAAATAAAATAGTGGAATAAAAAATCTTCTAAATTAATCAAACCGAGAAATAAACGTAATGCACAAAAAAAACTATTTTATTAAAATGTTTAAATCTGTTTATAGGCAAATAAATATAATTTAGACAACTCCATACTTGCTTGTCTCTCACTAAATTTAATTGTATACTATTATTAATAATTATTACTTACATAATTTAATTGTTATCTTTATTTTTTACCAACACCTATGTATTTTTCTTGTAAATTGCCGTCAGGAGAAGAAATAAATAAAAAAAAAAAGACGAAACTCTTTCATTGACAATTTCTGGTCGGCACTAGGCTATTATATATATAATTGTTGATTAAATATAACCTTTTAATAACAATAAAGTTAAAACATATCTTATATTAACATCATACATCCTATGCAAAGGCTATTAGGTACAGTAAGTCGTATCACAGACTGGTTGAGGTTTGACCGGGCACAAAAATGTGTAAAATTATACAATGATCATTTATTTATCGATTGTGAAATATTCAACTGGTGTCGTAAAACTTATATATAGGGCCAGGGCCTTTTATTTGAACTCATTTGCCCATAAATATTTTGTTTAACATTTCTAAGAAGTACGCAATGATATACAATATCAAGTAAGTAGTTTTTAAACGAAACTAAATATTTTGTATAATATGGCCAATATTTCCTTTATAACAAAACGATATTGCAATATTTAAGCGGTCAATAAAATTAAATAATTGCTTAGAATATTTATTATAATAAAACAATTAAGCTGAATGCTTGAAATACTAGTACTTATAATCAATGCTAGGAATTAAACAAAAATCTTTAAACGGCAGAATCACATGATTAAAAGAACCAAATACAAATGAAAATTACACACTTCACGTATTTTCTTGAACAACTAAATATTCTTTACATATTAAGATACTTATTCCTTTAAATGCTTTACTGCAATATGTTATGCCTTGTTATCATAATAATATCTATTTTTTATTACAAGTTATAAATAAAGCCACAACTACTTTTTTTACTGCCATCTCTTTTTCGAGCGTATTTTAAAGCCTTAAGGTCTGAAAACTATACTGTAACTAAATCTAAAACCTATACAATATTCTGTAGTTTTTGTTATTTTTTTTGAGAGCTATAAATCAATATGCAACGTCTCAAAAAAAAATTGTTTGAAAAAAATAGTCAAACTTTTTTTTTTTTTGTCAATTAAACAACGAAAACAGTAAATTACACTTTGACCTGAGTAAGTTTTTAGATTATTTTATAAGAGTGAACAGGTATCAGTAAACAGGTATTATTATATGAAAATATTTTAATATATTGTACCAACCAAGTACTCTTTACTCTCCGAGCACTCTTCGTACAGCGTGTACCCTATAACTAAATTACAGACAAAATGTATATAACATCAGAGACGCAGTAAAAAGTGTTATGTATTTTTTATTTTTGTAAAAGATTTATGTTAAGATTTATTTTATTAATCAAGTTTTAAAAAGTTAGACTGAGTGTGTAAACAATACTTCAGTGTAAAATATATTTAATGTTCACTTTACAAAATTAAAATATCTTTAACAAGAACCACTAAAGTTTAATGACACGAATGAAATAATGTGGGTTATTAGTTATTCTAAGTATAACAAATATAGTAGTACAATATATAAGTTCAACTATTTTAGTATTTTTAATGATATAGTTATTTTTCTAAACTTTTATTTTAATTCCTCATCATTCTCAGTGCAACAATTTTTCTGATTGAAAGTAAAGTTGAGAGTGAAAATCTGAAAAACTAAAAAATTGGTTTTAATTTAGTTAATGGGTGTTATAGTTGTATACATTTAAATTAGATAACAAAATTATCAATTTGATATACATAATATTATCTAACTCAATTGTTACACAATTTAACTACAGTATAATTTTACGTTAAACAAAAAAACTTATAAAGTCCACTACATTTTAATAATAAAAATGACCTTTTAAATTTGGTTATTAAAATAACTAAAAGTAAATCAACTAATATGCAATAACCTTTGCGTATGTCTCGTTGTTTAATGATAATGATGGAATAAAAATGCATTTGCAAGAAATTTGATGATTTGACCGCAGTAATATTAGACACATTGATTGTTTCTTATAGACATTTTTAGTGTACCAACTACTTCCATAGGATTCCTCCGCTATTATAAATGACTGTACAACCAACAAATGATATAGTATTTAATAGGAAATTGTTAATTATAGAAATACCTCATGCTCCAAACAAGATCCAATATTGCATGACAAGAATAGTGTTGTTAAACACATACATATATGTGACAAAGCTGACATTTTCATCATAAAATCCAAATCTGGCATCTAAAAAGTAAAAACTAAACAATTTTCATAAACTATGTAAATATAATATTTTATAAACTATAGTTTGCAGGATAAATTTAAAGGCATTTTCTAAAAAAAAAAAAGAGAACATTTTAGGCTATTTAATTTTTAACCGTGTATATTTCAATGCATTATTTTATAGTCTGATTAACTAAAATAGTAAAATAAGTTTTTTTAGAAAAAACTAAAGCAAAACTTGTTGTTGTAAATAAATATAATAATATTATATAAAAACCATTATCTAACCACAATCAGTGCTCACGACAGCGAAAGTAAACGTTGAATATTGTCTAAGATAATTAACCAGTGGGGTGTCGACTACAACTTAGGGATGAAATTGTACTTACCGATGTAATCAAAATCATTACAGAAGCATTCATTATGACGAAAAATGCCAGAAAAAAAGAAAATAATGGTGAATACATCTTACATAAATCCTGCCCAACTCTGTAAACATCAAATTTAAATGTATCAAATTTAAAACAATTAATCAAAACTTAACATATAATATATCAAAATACGTAATATAAAAATAATATTATGAATTTTAATAAATAAAAAATTGTTTATTTAAAAGTATGTAAATTATTAATTTGTGTCTGAGAGGTAGGGAGGTCAAGTATGTTTTCCTGTTATTATTCAGTATTACATAAAAATAATTCAAACATTAATATTATTATTTGACATACTTTTCGCCGCCCGTTACGAAATATAGATATATTATAATAGGTAAACTTTCTACTCTCAATATACTATTTAGTATTCATGTTATAAAACAATAAATTCGTTAAATCAATAACTAGAATTTTTGGCTTATCGCTTAGAAATCACTATGAAAACTAATACGTAAACTAAAACTAATAACTAATTCGTTCTTATCACAGAAATATATATGTGACACGGAAAGCAAAAAAGGACCTCTTGTCGTTATTTTCCAAGACTGAGTTCTTGTTATTTTCTGAATCTTGAATGATTTTTAAACAATTTGAGATCTGTTTAATCTTTGTAACTGAAAAAATGACTGGGTTGTTGCACTTTGAAGATTGCGAATCTTTTGGCGTTATTTTCGAAATCAGACTTTTGACAAGAGGTCCCTTTTCGCTTTCCACATTATTTATATAGATAGGCATTTCGATCTTAAACATCTCTTTTGATCACTCATACTAAATTACTATTATTATTATTTTTGTAAAACCCCTATTGATCAAACATACCAAATTATTATTATAAGTATTGTTATCTTAAATATTGTTTTGGTTCTCGTGTGTTTCTTGAATTTAAATGCAATATTTGTATAACAATTTTAAATAATGTTCCATATATTATATTTTACCTTAATATATTTTGGTGTCGCTGAACCCATATTTTCATTAGATCTTCTGATGGATCTTCTGTAAACTCGATAAGGTCAAATAAATTATGCTTAAGGTACGTTAAGCCGCATTTTACTTGCGACAGTGTGCCAATATAATAACAGTGTGGAGCTATAATTTTGAAGTTCCCAATTAGTATGATAAAACATAAAAGACATGAAAGCGGCCAATACTGCGAATCGTTATAGTCTACGAACGGTAACTTCAAATGTGATGCTAATTCTTTTTTAGTCCTCTCGTCTTGGGGTATAAAATCTCTCCAAAATGGAAATACAACAGCAGACAGAGCGGTAATAAATGCACCCATCGATAATAATTTGTTATATAACCTAAAAATAAACTATATTTTATATCATCTTAATTCATTTTTCTGTTAAAAATTGTATACCATATATACATTTAAATGACAAAT